CAGCGCTAGAAGTGAACTGTCAGACGCTTAGATGCAGGACCTTCGCTTTTAAGAAAATGTTTCATGTAAAAAAATCGAAAAGTTTCATGTAAAAAATTTTGGTTTCTTTGCCGGACTCATTTTATTTCATAAAAAAGCGTTTGGCATAACAAAAAAATGTTTTTTATATGAAACTTTGGAAAAAATTGTTTTTGGGATAGTAATATATTAAGTACTTTTACTATTACATGTAATGGGAAAAGTAATAGTAATAGGATCTGTAATAGGATAAATGTAATGGCTATTACATGTAATAGTAATAGTAATAAGTAATGGGCATTACAATTTTTTACTTCTACATCTATATCTATAATATATGATATATTGCATAATTTTATACGGAGTCAAGACAAAATATAGTGGCGACCATCCTGAACCCATTTCCACATGTAAAAGTTTATATTTTATACCGGGAATATAACTAAGTCATTCAAATACAGTCACAGTTGAACACTAAATTAATTAGAAACAGAATTCCTCCTCCTCCTTCTTCAATTTGGCTTTTTTGACATTGCGATCCCGGTAAAGTGATACGATCAAAATTTGTCTCATCCAGATGTAGCAAGTTTGTGCCAGATTCAGAAATATATAGCCAATTCGTGTGTAATTCGTCAAAAGAAAACTTATTGGTTTAAAATGTGTTTTTTTTTCAATTTCACAATTTATTTCATGATCTTTCTACGTGTAATTTAGTATTATTCTACTACGATTGAAAAAAACAAAATAGTATTCATTTGTAGGTTATTTTTTCCAGTTCAGGGAAAAGCTAGCTAAACTGGGATCGCGCATTCTCCATTTAAAAATCATTATTCGAATGCAACATCTTTCGTCAATAACTTAATTAAAAACTTATTCAACACGCGCGATAGGCGTTAAAATTCAAATAAGAAGTAATGAATATAGTTGTTTTGTGTTTTTATTTATTTATTTTGATGTTTTATCGTCGGCTGGAAAATGTTTACAAACCAAAAACTCCCTTTTTCAGTAATCTATGTCAACTTTGATTTGATTTGATTTTAAATCTGGGCTCTCATCGATTATATAGGAGTAGTTAACTACGGTGTGTCGATATTTTGAATTAATGGCAAAATACAGCAACACTATTCTAGGTCGTCATCGATATCTTCGGTGATTATATTTCGAGGAGCACTCTCTTCTGCTGCGGCTGCCTTATTGCCGTATTCTCTCATTCGTTGAATTAACAGGGTGAACACTTGTGATGGCAACGTTTGTTGAAGTACCTAAAACAAAGATAAGGAATGGGTTAAATGTGTTTTGTTTTTGATTTTACTTTCGTTAGTAGAAAGTGTCATGGTACTTACTTGCAAAAGTTGCGTGGGTTGACCGCAAACAACAACTGCATTTGCTAAATGAGTTACACCTTGTTCAATGTCGCCGCTCGAAATAAGCGCTTCACCGGCCTGAATTTCTTGCAGAAAGAATCTAAATGATGGCAAAGCAATGGGCGATTTCATCAATTAATGAATTGTTTTGGAATTGTTTTCGCGTGGAGTATATTTTTATTCCCTAATGGCACACAAACACGTACGCATCGTACAAGGTCATTTTTATTATGATTACCAGTGAATAAGGATAATAAAGCGTGAAGGTCACAAATGTGTGCGTGTGTGTGAGTCTACCTTCATTCAAAGAAAAAATCGTTACTGCCGCCTTCAACGAACTGAACTCATGGAACAAATGACACGTAAAAAGTGCAAACAGGGTGTGTAGTATCCAATTTCAGTTAGAATATGTTTTTTTTCGCATATCAATTATTATTATTGATAAAAAATAGTATGCAATTTTGATTAAATTCATATTCCAAATATACCGTTGAGTTATTTCCTTATTTCACACTTTGAATTTCGCTTGTGCGCAATGTACAATGTTTAAATGTGTTACTGTTGTCGTTGTTGTTGTTGTTGTTGTTGTTGTCGTTCTGGTGGCACCAATTGATTTCATTTCTTATTTGGAATGTTCAATTATTTTTCTTTGTCATAACCTCAAAATCATATGAGAATAAACAAGAATAAACACGGTTGCACTTAAGCTACAGATCAACCGTTTTCAAATCGAACACCAACTAAAAAATATGCAAAGACCGTGTTCACCAAAACTAATAATGTTAATGGTATTTACCTTTGAACAGCTTCATGATCATTCAAATTCGGCAATTCGGTCCGTGACCCTGAATTTCCGATTTTGCGCTGACGAGTGCGACGTCTTCCTGTACGATGTTTTCCAATGGATAACGAAACGAATATGCCCCAAAAAATTAAAAAGAAAATAAAATATATTCACTAAAGATACTAAAAATGCATGAACGATGACAACATTGGCGGGCAGGAAGTCGCAAGAACTGAATAAATTACATAATTTAATGAAATGTGTACTCACGTTCGCGAATTTTTTTCTTATATTCTGGATCACTACGACGCTTTTTATCAAAGTAAATGCAATAGCTGAGGAATATTGTACCAGCAATGCCAGCCGCTATGCCCAGTGTGGTTCGTGATATATCCAAATTCATTTTGTTTTTACTTCTTTGTTTGATCGATTGATGGTTTATTACTTTCCTCACAACCCGTGCTCAATCTCCGTGTGTGTGATTAACGTAAAATGGGAAACTAACCGCGGATAGAATGACCAAAAAAAGGAAATAAAAATTCCAATTGAAAAGGAAAAAACAAACAACGGATATATTGAATATCCTAGTATTATCCTGGAGAAGGAAAATGAAGAAAAATCCAAAAATGAAGTCACACGAATTTTTAGTGGCACACACAACGAACAACGCATGCACACTGTCAATCATGACATTTGCCTTAGAACAAGAATCGTTTCAAAAATGCTATTTGAAAATGTGGATTTTGAAGTATGCATGCAATAGACGGCTTACAGAATAATACATTTTTTTGTTAATACCTAGACGTTTTTGTGAAAAAGAATTTTGAGAGAGTTTTAAACTGATATTATATGTACAAATTTATAGAGTTTTCTGAATAAAATAAGGAAAATATATAATAAAATGGCAATTTTCTAGTAACGCCATCTTACAGATCAAGAACACAAATCCATTTGACATATGGAATGTATAGTTTGGCGCCAACATTGACAGTTCAATGTTTGTATGCTTTAAAATCACATCGAATTTGGCAGCTTCTTTGAAGATTCTATCTACAAACAGACGTGATGAATTCATTTTCACAGGTAATGTTTATGTTTAATACGTGTCCGAAATATAAATCATATTCAAAGCATAAATCGAAATTCTTAAATTTTCAGGGTATTTTCGTGTTCAAAAATGGTTATTTGCATGGCAAACCGGATAGAAAAAGGAAATCAAAATTTCCCATTCCACAAAGCACATTCAATTGTGATGAAAATGCACGACACTGGAACGAGGAATTTGAACGTACTTGGGGTTACATACAGTCACGAATTGATGTACATATTTACATTATATACTTGATGGTTTCTAATCAATTATTCAAACTATTTTGTACATATTACAGGAGATTCAAGCAAATAACAATGATGGCCATTTGATGGAGCTGTGTGATTTCGTGACAAAAAGTTGGTCCTCCGCAAATGTTGCAGCCGAAAAAAATGGGTCCGATATGACACTTTTACGTGTTGCCGCACTTTTGACTGGCATTAACAAACCAGATCATCATCAGTATTTCAGACTTCTGTCAAACACACTGAACAAAAAGAAAATTGCTCGAACCGTTTTTCTACCAGCCAGAGATTGTCCAAATGTTCGTACTGCTATTGAAACCTTAGTTTCATGCTTGCTGAGCAATGGTCGAAAACATAACTATCGCGACGAAGGTGATGTGGTGAGTTTCATGGGACTTTCACATTTTCAAACTAATTAATAAATGTGAATTTTCCCAGATTGCAGCCGGTGATAACAGTTTGGTTTTTGGTTCTGATGAGAGTGGGACATCAGACATTGAGATGGAGGTGAATGCTGAAGATGATGATGAACCACCGGTGAAATTACGAAGAAGCCAATACACACTGGATGTGCTACAATCGTGGTACGATACAAAATTTGCCGCTGAATCCGTGGATGCCATACCGCAATTGGCGATAATCATGCCGAATTTCGAAGAATTCAAACCAAATGTGATCAAGGATTTGATACGGATTTTAAGGTATGTATGAATGTAAGAATCGGGAATAATATGCAAAAACAATCACAATCGAATTCTCTTTCGTTTCAGCAATCATTGCAAGCGATTACCCTTTGTTCTGATATTGGGGGTAGCAACGTCAACCACAGCTTTGCTGAATACACTGTCTTTTAATGAAACAACACGTATTAAGCTGCGCGTATTCTCCGGACAGCCGCCCAACCAAATTCTTGACCAAATTTTCGACGACGTCATTCTAACACCAAAATGTCCATTCCAACTAGCTAGTAACGTGCTCGACTACCTGAAAAGTGTGTTTATTTTCTATGATTTGACTGCGAAGAATTTCCTTAGGTCGACTCGCTATTGTCTTCTCGATCAATATTCACGTGGAAATGCATACGCTGTTTGTGCAACTACATTCAAACAAGCTCAAAAGAACATTTCTCGTCTAAAGCACAACGATTTTGAAACGATACGACGGCTACCGTCATTCCGACCTTACGTGGATTCAATGAAAAATCCCGCTCACGTATTGGCCATTTTTGAAGACGATGATTTCCTTCGAACACAGCTCTTCGATATAGTCCAAAATATTTATACGTTTTTCGCTAAATTTCATGGTTACATTCGACTTTTGTGGATTCTAGTAAAAGATTTGCCAAAATCACCATTGGGCAAACGACTAAGTGACATTTACATGTATTGTCATATGTCGAAGAAAAGTGTCACCACAACGGAAGAATTTGAAAAATGTTGGCAACTTTTAAGCCTGATGTCCAAGGATGAGTTTACAGAGCTATTGGAAAAGTGTTACATGGCTTTTGAAATCTACGAAAAAGATCATTGCAATGACAAGACAATCGATGAGATAGTTCTGCGTGATGCACAGGATGCCTTTGATGGAACATCAACTAAATTAAGGAACCTAATCGATGAACTGAAACAAGACCATCAATCAACTGAACGACAGGTAACACAACCTTCCGAACCAAAAATTTTCGGAAATCGGACAGCATTCTATGCAAATATGAAACAACAACATAAAAATACGATGTCCGAGACTAGCCAGATTATTCGAAAAATTTTGGACTTTTTTCGTGTTGATGTGGTTGAAAGGTATTTGCCACCACAGAGTCAAGCTCCGCCATTGCTTGAACTATTTGTTTACTCTGACTATGATCAAATTCGATCACATCTTCGTGGCACGCCTCGCAGTGCTATTCACAAAGTTTTAACTGATCCACATGCTTATATACAGGTATTTTCACGTCATACTGTAGCCATTTTTCATGTACATGTCATTTAATGTGTATGTTTAATTTCAGTGCAAATGCTGTGCGATAGAAAATACACAATCAAATCAACTGTTACCAACAATGCCAGACAATTCTATTGCCTATGGGTTACTGCTTGAAAGTGGACAACAAGTCAATATTTATGATTGGATGAGCGCATTCAACGCTATCGTTGGTGATCATAGTGCAGAAACTCCAGATGACGATGAAAATATTCCACCAGAAATTCAGTAAGTATCTATGAATTGAACATGATTCGTATAGGCTTTTATTGATCACTGCATTTTGTTTTTAACACCAAATTTCTACGAATTCAGAGCGAAATTCACTCGGGCAAGAGCTGAGCTACATTTCATGGGCTTTACCAAAAATTCGAAGCGAAAGACTGATCACGTAACGCGAACCACATGGTGAAACAACATAAATTCCCTGAAGGATTAATTTTTATATTTGTTTTTCATGCAGAGTGTCAACATTTCAAATCACATTCAAATTCATCAAATAAAAGTTATCTTTTTTTGTATTTAAATCAATATTTTATTTGTATACGGACGATAGCAGTCCGACAAGTGATATTCAGTAAATGACTGTCGAAAAAAAGTGATAAAGTCGAAATAGGTTCGATTTTCTAAGAACACCGCTTGACTTTCGGCATGGTACATAATAATTGAAAACAAAACCGCAGATCGTCGCTTCACTCATTCTTTATGTTATTAAAAATTGAGTGTTTCAATAAATTTGATGTTCCCATCAAATTATTCATCGATACAGATTTACATTTTCGATATGTTATTAATATGTTATTGCCCGACATATTTATCATTATGTTATGTTGGGATTTTTTTTATCTTAATAACGTTATTAAGATTCAGCATAATAATAACATAATATGTTATGCGTTATATCGGGTGTTATCTTAAAAAATCCTAAGATTCGGCGGTAATAACATTTTATTAACTATAATAATAACATATTATTAAGATGGATTTATTAACTCAATTAATAACATATTATTAAGATGCAATCTTAATAACGCTTTTTTCGCGCATTCTTTTCCCTAGCTGGAGAGAAAAAAAGCACTGGATTTTTTTTTTCACTACGGGTATACAGTGTATGGTGTACGCACCTATAACAATGCAGACAAAATATGGTAAATTGATCCTTTCAAGGTCGGGACTGGCGATTTCCTAAATTTAATGGTTAAGTTCAATACATGATAATTCCGTTTCAAAGAGTCATTTTAATTTCATTGCAACAGTGCAAAAATTCATGTGTGTACTCTGCAGTGAAAAAACAACTTGTCAGTGCTCCGGTGGAAAAAATGCGCGAAAAACGCGTTATTAAAATTGTATCTTAATAATATGTTATTATTTTTTTTATTTTTTTTATTTTTATTAAACACCGCCAAGCTCTGGCTGAATATAATGTGGGTTTTGTTAGAGGTTTGGTCGGAAAAGAGTGCAAGACTGTTACAATTTTTATAAATGATGAACAATGGTAGCAGCATCTTTCGATAACTTTCAGTTCTCACCTCGTTAAAAACCTGGCTCTTTTCGTAAATTATGAGGTAATCACAAAAGTAGGAACATGAAAACGAAAGCAGTCATACAACCAAGATGGAAATGCTCATAGTAGTCTATAGCAAACGGTCCAGGATAACCTTTGGTAAACGTTTCCAAAGGGACAAAGGCTATGTGAAGCGTTAATTGTTACGCGTTAAATTTGAGACTTTGAGACTGCAAAAGTCGTCCGATAGATAAATTGATGAGAAGTTTTACGTCGGTTACGGCAGATCCATGTTGATTGCAGAGTGCATTGAGTTGACATGGACCATGATTTGAAACGTAACTAGATCATTTGATGCTAAATGGCAAATAATTCAAAATTGACCTCAAAGATAAGAATATTAACTCGCCAACTCGTGGATGGCTAAACAAAGCACAAAATCAAAAAAATAAAAATTTACAATAAATAAGTGTAAACATCACAGATAAGTATCATCCTTTCAATACACATAAAAGAATGTATGGAAAAAATTCGTCAGACTTTAATTATTGATTTTGCTGTGTGATCCGTGTGAGATGAGTTGACTTCCACGTGGGTGGTCGGAACCTGGGACAGCCCCGCTCATGTTTGTTGCAATCAGAAGCAACCAAATGGCACCCGGGCAGTATGCTTTGTCCTTGGGAATTCGTCCGCTTGGGATCATGGATCGGGTTTAACGGCAACATGAAAATCGAAATTTCATCATTAATGTGGGCAGTATCAAGGTGTTCTCGTAGAGAACATATACAAAAAAATGAGGTTACCTGGATGAAAAATTGACTAGGCGGCCAGGTAGTCATTTGAGTTTGCAAAGCGATCCAAAAGTGGTGTCCGTCATTTTACGAACCGATGATGCAAAATTTGTCTTTGAGGTCGCTGCTGTGAACAGTTCCGGCACCATGTTCGCCATTTTGCACATTTGACGAACTGGAGCCTCGCGCACCAACTTCATGTGCTTGTCATTGACCTTGAATTGTTCACTGTGCCTCAACGAACGGCCATGATGAAAAGAGACTTGGTCTCTAACTGTTGGACAGTTAGCGTTACCGTTGATGATGTCGTAGAAGAACGTCAATGACGCGTCAGTTAATGAATCCATCTTGATAATATGATATTATTATAGTTAATAAAATATTATTACCGCCGAATCCTAGGATTTATTAAGATAATACCCGATATAACGCATAACATATTATGTTATTATTATGCTGAATCTTAATAACGTTATTATTATGTTATGTTGGACCAATATATCGGCCGTTATTATTATGTTATTAAGTATAGTTAATAATATGTTATTGCCTGTAAATCTGTATTCATCGAAGCACTACATGGAATGTAGTTTCATTCGGAGCATACATTTCTTCATTTTATGAAAATTATTAGAACTAATATCAAGTATGTTCGATTCGGACTCTATTTTTTCTGAAGATGTTAAAATCGACGATGTCATGGTGGAAATTGTTAATTCACGTAATTCAGTCAAGAAGGGAAAAATGAAAGTTCAAGTACCAATAAAACAAAAATTATTAATAATATTGATATTATAAATAATAATAAATCAATCTTTTGAATAAAATTATAATTTATATTATATAGTATATTATATTGTAATCTTTAATAATGCGTTTTATGTGGATTGTACATTATTTCACATTGGGAATTAAAAAGATGCGAAATGGCAATATGATGTGAACCTAGAACTATGTATTTATTTCTTTGTAGAAATATCGACAGTTTCTGAGTGTTTCAACACATTGTCCATTGTATATATATATATATATATATCGAATTGGTATTTTACGGGAAAATGACATGTTTTTCATAGTACACAGAATATGGATTTTCTAGAGTTCTTAAATAATACCCAAATTGAAAGAGAGTATTTCTGCAACACAATTTGCCTTCCATTTATTTAACCGTCATCGCCATTAAACTCTGCCATCTGTTGTAAATTCCAAAGGAACTCAATGACAAATTGCACTGTAACGATATACAACGGCAACACGCCATTTTTTGTATTAATGTGTGCTGACGTTTAGCGACGTGTAAACTTTCATTTCAATCACCCAAGACATTAAATGTTAGACGTGGAGAAGTTCATTACAATTCAGTCGGTCAAATACAACTCGTCGGGCCATTTTCGTGTGCACATCTCAAATAAGTTGAAGTGTTTTTTTCCTCGTTGCAATAAAAGATAAAACAATAAATCAAAATGGTAAGATATCTATCGAGTTTTAAGAAAATGTTGTAAAACAGTTGATTAAATTTAAAAAAAATCATGCATTTTATGGTAAAATTAAATGAAAATTTTGTTTGGTGCGGTAAACACACACTGAAAGTTATATCGAAAGTTATTCATTTACATTGAAATGCATTCAAATAATAAAAAGATCTTCCAAATGTACATTAAAATATTGATAAATTTGGTGATGTTAACTTGTATTTTTGCTCTATTTCGTTGTGAATATATAGCCAGCTCCAGCAAGTTCAACAGCAGTCGGTAGTGGAACCCGTTCACCAAGCAAATTGGCCAGTCCACGTTCAAGTGCCGGTGGTTCAAGTAATTTGAAACAACGTAAGACAACAACAGCAACAGCAGCTCGTAATCGCACCACTGGCACATCATCAGGTGGTATGTGGCGTTTCTACACAGACGATTCACCAGGCTACAAAGTTGGACCAGTCCCAGTCTTAGTTATGTCACTGTTGTTCATTGCATCCGTTTTCATGTTACACATCTGGGGAAAATACACTCGCTCATAAGCGTCATCGACTAACCAGCACACCTAAATCTGATTTTTACTCTTAAATAGCAAATATCACAACCATCTTAAATTGGCATACAATTCACGTCTAAACTTAAAGAGAAACAAAATGAAATCTACCCAAGTCAAATGGAATTCTCTCCTACGGAGAACTGAAGCAATCATCAGCATTGAACCTCGTTTGAATCAACTATACTTTCCGAAATTGTTGCTTACTTCCATTCCAATTCATGAATATTCATCGACTTCTATAACAACAACAAAAAACGAAAAAAAATTCAAATAAAAGAAAATTGTATTTATTTACGTGTAAAAAGTGATAGACGCAAATAAATTTTGTACGAAAACTATGTCAATGTATTCCGTATTGTTCTTTGATTTTACAATTGGTGGGTGACACAGAGGAACCCATTTTCAATTCCTAGGTATTGAAAGAAATTTGATTGTTTTTGATTGTTTGCATTTATTTAAAAGATATTTTCAATGAGGTTAACTATCACGCTTAAGAGCAACATTGTTTATGTTCATGAATTCAACAAAACAAAAATAACTGGAAGCGGACACATTTTAAAGGGATGAAAAATATAGGAAAAAAATTCTTATCCGATTTTGACTCTTTCCAATTTGTTCAAAATAATTATCCATTTGAATGTTTGAGTGGTTAACTAATAGTCACAGAACTCAATAGGAATTTAGCAGATCGTTGCAAAACGTCTGCCTGAGTGAGGGAATTCATTGTATAGGACAGCACTCTATAGCAGGCAATTTGCAGTCTCTGGAATTTATTGCTAGTGCTTTTAAGTCATTGTAACTATTCTATTCATTAATCGGAATTTCATTCCAATGCTTTTCCAACTATGGCTCATTAAAACATAGAAATAGGCTAAATAATACATAATAAAACTTCCATCAAGAGAGAACTACTTAACATTCATACATTATGTCGAAAAAATTGCTTGGTGCCGCCACCTAGTGAATGAGTTTACCAAGCAGCTAATTTAAAGGCATTTAAATGAGTAGCAAATGATATTGCGATATAAAAATTGTTCTGAATTTGTACATGAAATTCAATCGAATTTTTGCTTGGATCCATCGGCTTTGTTCGCACGTTATCACTATCAATGGGCATATCAATGTTTACACGGAATAAAAATTGCGGTCGATTTTGGATTTAATTGTTGGTTTTGTGAATGGTGAAAACCATGCTATCGAAAATCGCCCAAAAACTGATTGGATGCTCTTCCAACGTGATTTCTTCACCCAGCTGGCTTCCTCTTTTTTTAACTGCTCGATACCCTATAAGATTTGAAACGGAATTCTGCTAGTTAGTATACTGGCTAAACATTTGACTTGAATGAACGCAAAATACCAACCGTCTCATCATTCCAAATGGCGTTGATTTGTGTTCCAAGCATTATTAGTGTAAATACAGCAAATAATAATGCTTCGAATGTCAAAAATAGTAATAGAATGACGGTAGCTGGCGGCGAAAAGAATGAGCACTGCTTCCATTCATTCTTGATACACAACGCAAATTGATTAACAGCTAGAAACATTGCATGACCCGATATCATGGCGATATAAAACTGGATAAAATAAAATTTTGGAGAATGTGTAAAAAAAATCTCGATTTTTATACGGTACTAAATTGTTTGTATCATGAATAGCTTACCGTAAAAAGAACGAAATACTTCTGGTTATTTTCACCAACGCAGTTATTCACCCAGGCTGTAAATGATATAGTCGAGTAATCGCCTTATTAATATGAAATATTTTTTGCTCATATTCTTTATAATTATATGAAATTCCCCAATTTCCGGAACAAAATTAGTTTGTATTACTTACGACAGTGATGGTCCATTTTTCGGATGCATCTTTGGCAGACCGAACAATGATGAGCTCGCTCTGGTTTGATGCTGCAGCACTTTGGACATTTGAAGAACACTTGTCCTTCTTTAAAACCTAATTGTTGAATCATTTCTTTAGTGGCATTACCTTTTGGCACCGCACCCTATAATTAAGACCAAATTCAATTAGGACACACTCATCTTTTTGAAGCCGTATTATGTGTTTTTCATACGTACTGGATCTGAAAACATGGTTCGAATATGCGATGCATACGCTAAAAATGCCAACATATTGAAAATAATCATATTAATGGTGCTGTAGACAGGATATGGACTGGGCAATATTATGACAACCATCACCACAAACTCGGCATACAGAATCAGCAGCCAAGTCATTACCGCACATATTATGCCACATATATCCTACAAACAATGGAAGACAAAAACAATGAAGAAGAAGACGAAGAACACCGATCATTATCTATCCAAATTATTAGTGTAAATGGTCGTTCGAATGTTGTTTACGTGCCAATTGCTACTTACCTGAACACACCAAGCTCGCCCGCCACAGCATCGGTTATGCATATCTTTACCATAGAAGAGTTTATACTCATAATCCATATCACAAATACAATTGATTTCTATCTAAACATCAACAAACCACCTTGGCTATTTCATAGTTTAACGCCTTTTTTCGCACTAAATTGTATTTATATGCACCGCAAAAGTATAGATTATTACAGCGCCTTTTCAAAACAATTATCAAATGTTTACAGTTTATTGCCGTCAAAATATCGCACACGTTTTCAAATCATCACTTCAGTCTTAATGGTGGTATAGGTTGCGATCTTTGTATTAAGCTTCAACGTTTCAATTTCTGCAGCCCAACCAAAAGAAAAAAAAAACATTAACAAAAACACATTAGTCTAGACACAGAGAGAGGTAGATGGAAATATAGACGACTGCTTCCGGATAATGGTAAGTAAACTGCAATTACGACTAATCGAAAGAAGTAAAATTCAACATGGTCTTGCCTGTTTCACCGTACTCTGAATAATTCAATTAGCTTAAGACATCAAAGTATGTCAAATGGTTCAATGTCTTAAACTAATTAATGAACAATCGATGTGTGAATGGTATAAAATTTTATATTTGCATCTCGGTCCCGTTGCACTTGAGCAAACGATAATTGTAAGGTCGACTCGAGTGCAAACAATTTCCAAGTGGAAAATATAAGATATCAGTATGTGCTCAGTTCATTCACTTACCATTCGTACCATGTATACAAAGAACGGTATTTCATTCATCAAGTTCTCAGCGACTCACAACAAATGCACAAACAAATTGGAAAACAAAGATCTATTAATTTTTGAACACACACTCAATTTATTTGTTCTCTTTTCTTCTTTATCAATCTGTTAAACAACCTCTTACGTCTTGCAATTTGATTTTCGATCAAAGAAAGTGGGAAAAAGTATGCAGGAAAGAAATGAACAGTACGAGTCGAGTAATGTTCATAAAATTGCAAATCCATAAAATTGGTGTTGGTTTGACAGTTTGACAGCGCTTTTTCGTTCACGCTCACACTCCTCTGTGTCGACTCATGAATGCGAGCAGCAGATATACATTTGGATATATGTATGACAAAACGAGACATACTCTATTGGAATATGGCTTGAGTGCGCTGTGTCCATGTGTTTGTATGAGACTTACATTGGTGTGCGATCACGCGAGCTGCCTATTTACACGCAAAAGAAATATTTGTTTTTGTTTTTGAATGAGAGGACATTGTATCGTATTTTACGGACGATTTATACGTTGTATACATTTCTTTAATTTCATTTTCACCTTAATTCATCTAAGGTTACAAGCACCACCGGAGTGTTGGAAAAATAGTTTTTACATTACAATCTATGCCCATCCTTATTTTTCGATTGAATTCCAAATGTAATTGAATTTTAAAAAAACAGTCTCCCGAAACAACCGAATCACCCAATTTTATGATATAAAGCTAAGCCTAAGATGGTTGTAATTTGGCTGCCGGTTGAAGAAGAACAATGATTGCAGCAATCGATGATATCACTCCCAGCAATCCAACCGTTCGCGGTTTAAGTTTTGTGTATCCAAGAGCTGTCAACGGTATGAAAATATCACACAAATTCTTGGTGGTGTCGATGAAGATGGCTCGATTCTCATATGTATATGCATACATTTGATGTGAAGCTTTTGTTAAATCCCTTTTTGATAATGTCGAAATGTTTGTGTTTGTATCAAAAATCCAGCGGTAGAGTGTTTGTTTGTTTCGCCCATTTCCCGCGTTCAACGTTCGATCGATGAGCCTTGATAATTCGTAGATGTCACGACATAAGTTAACTACGATTGACACAAACCAATATTTGTTGGCTGTGTCATTCCATTTTTTGGCATCAATTGATTTAGCTAGGCCCGAACGAGACAGCCACAGAATGTGATCAGCATACAAATACAGGGCCTGAGCAATTTTGCTAAGCGTCAGCGTTAACCGAATAGTCACGTTTGTATGGTGGATTGTCCGTTGAGCCGCATACATTAAATCAATACATTTTCCAAATCGCAACACTAATAAATAAAAATTTGATGGAATTTTAGAAAATTGACAGAATCGATGAGGAACAGAACGTTTGGTTGTTTTTACGTTTTCGAAATGAGCTGAGGAGGTATTCCAGTGTCTTTAGTTTGTCTATCAATTCAGAATTCCATGGACGGACTCGCATACCATCCCAAAGGGCACGACACGCATACTGTATTAATCTAAATGCCAAAATAGAGATAGGTACCATTTTTTTTATAGGAAACCCCATTCCAGATCATAATTTCCCATAATTATTTACCTCGCCACTTTATCTCGACCATCACTTTGTGTGTTCAGCCGAACCAATTTATCTAAATATAATTCCATATTGGAAGAAAAATATATATTTCCGTTATTGGGAATTAAAATTTGGGTGTATTTTTGATCACGACGCAATTTCGTCTCCTTTGCACTTTGAATATCTCCTGAGTACCAAAACAATAATTTGATATTCTAGAGGTGTTTTGACACTTGCTATTCGTATTCGTTCAATCGAACACACACAATTACAACATCATTTGTTATTTGCGCGTTTGTTTGTGTATGTGTGTCAGACTATGTACACTATGTCAAAACAGTCAACGTTGCTATGTTGGCGCATGCGTGTCGATTAGTTTTGTTTTTGCCCGTTGCTTTTACTCTCTTCTATTGTATGATAAGTACCTGTTTTGACGTTTTCCAATGAGCTAAATCAAATATTCCATTTTAAACGCATTCAAAATTCATTGAAATCCATTTATTATTTTGGTAATATTCAATACCAAAACGAAAGCAGATATAACAACTTTCAACAATAAGTCAACGATTTAAACATCAAAATTTTCTTGTTTTTCACTAAATTTGTTCAATCAAGACTGAAACCTTACGATGGCTGTAAGTATAATACTATATTGCATGAAGTTATTGAATTTCGACTAATATCGTGAATTTTTAGCCACAGAAAGGGAAGCAAGGGACTAAAGGTGCCAAACAGATTGTCGAAGAAAATTCGGCAACATTGAAGTTTTACCAATACATGGCCGCCGGTTCGACGACCATTTTTTTCATAATTAATTTTCTATTTTTTGAATTCACCGGAATAGTATCGGTAGGTGTTCAGTTTTGTTTTGGATATTTTAAACACTGTCCACTGTTTGGTTAATTGAATATTTTCATGTTTCACAGTCGATGGCATTTATTTCGGTTGCAATCATGCTTGGCTCTTATCAATTTATGGCATTTATGTCAAAAGCAAAGTATTCGGAGAGCGGAATGCTGCTAGACAGTGGCAGTGATTTGAACATGGAGGGTGGAATAGCGGAGTAAGTGTAAAATATGATTGCTTAAACTCTCGCAGAAACAAAATCAAAACTAATCACTAAACACCATTGTTTTTCTCCATTAGGAATGTCAAAGATTTAATTATTTTAACGAGTGGTACACAAGTGCTGTCGCTGATATCGAATTGGTTTTGGATTTTGTTGTTGCTCGCTCCAGTTCGTGCAATTTGGATGCTTTGGGGTTCAGTGATCAAACCATGGTTAAGTCAACGTAACGAGCAACCCGAAGTCGATGAAAAAAAGCAGAAAAAGCTTGAACGAAAAATGAAACGGGAACAAAAGTTCAGATGAATTTTTTTCACAATAATAGTTTAATTGTGTGAATGCCTTCGAGAAAAAAAGACATAATTGTGTGCGATTAAATCACTATGTTTGAATGTATCAATTGCAATAAAAAAAAAATGAGTGGGATTTTGACGAAAAGAAAATTTCAGTTAAATAGAAACAAACCAAGGGACAGATGAGAACTAAATGTATTGCTATTTATTTTTTTTATGAAATCGATAATAAAAAGGAAAAATGTGCAACAATTTGATTTTTATTAGCTCTCTTGAGAGCAATGAATCTAAACATACAAATTTAGCGAGTATGAGCTATTTATAATGTCAGGCGAATGAATTATAATAATAGTAAGGAAATGCACTGTTTGTGATGCAACATCATGTTCATGGCAATTTCACTATTTGTACCGGCATTTCATTTTGCCGGGTACAAAACATGCAGTTGAACGAAACTGAAACCGATCCGAAAATGTTGAAAGATATTTATTTAAAATAATATTCAAAACCGTAGACGGTGGAATCCGGCAAGCAAATGCTTCATCTTCATCATCAGGGACATGGGACTGACTACAAAAAATAATGAAGACAAACATTGATGCTGATAAATCGATGATGTGTGATGTGTTCGCTCATCTAGCGGTCTATCCACGTCCAAATCCACACACAAACTACGGCTCGGAGAGAGAAATGAGCAGAGAGCGCAGTATTTAACACACACGCGCGTACATATGCATATTTTCATTTTCAGACCGGACTAGGGAAATATCATTACGTCTTCGCTTATTTTTAGACTAAGTTCAGTGTGTATCATTTTTCCTGTCGAGACGCACACACCGAACGAGATATAGAGAATTAATAAGCACACAGAATTTTCATCAACCTTTCAAATTGTTCGAACCAAATAATAATAATTAATTTCTCAAATTTTCGTATCTTATCGCGATATTTTTCTTGCTCGAATCGACTTTTGTTCTTTTTTTTCCGATACCGAATCTAATAACTCAGTGGACAATGTGACTCTTACTCCAAGCAGACTGCAACCGAAACATGTGAAAACGGACAACCAATTTGAGGCGATAGTACAATTTTGATAGGAAGAATCAAGCAAAAGCGATCCATACAATATTTTCAAAATATATATTTATTTCTAGCTTAATTTTGGTATGTTGAGTGACTTTGATTTGTTTACACAAATCTGATAATAGTTTTAAACATTTGTAGCATTGTGATCAGTTTTAAAGAGTTATTAAATCCAAATCGAATCGAATAGAAAATATATAAATCAATTTGAATTTCGAACTAATTTCGGAGCAATTGTTGCTTTCTCGCGTTATATAGCGCGCGCGTGTGTGCGTGTGTGCGTTTGTGCGGTAGTGCGTCGTAATATCGCATTTTTGATCGATTTGATGGTATTCATCATTGATCGAAAACGGCAAAGTGATCGTAGTGATTAACGCAAGTCAACGACTTTTGTCAAGATAGATCGACACATCTGACAAAGTAGCAGTTTGGAACACACCATACGATATATATGACTCACACTGAACGATGGATAATGGTTTGTACATCAAGCATTTACCTACATTCCCCAGGTTCATGTTCTTCATATGAGCGTACAAATTACGCAATTCAATAAAGGTCCTGTTGCATTCGTTTTTAGGAAATAATTGATGCGAGCAAGCACTGTTTAATTGGATTCTTTTTCGGTGCTTCACTAATACCCTAATTGACATTGAAAATTCCGAATTTCATGACTTAATAGAAAGAAGAAGAAAAAAGTGATTTATACTTTACGCTAATTTACTGCTTTCGACATCGTAACAAAGAAGAAAATGGATTAACACCGCTAAATTCTTGAATATTCATCAAACAAAAGCAAATACAATGTAACGTGTTTGGATTTGCATGAAGAATTCCAAATTAAAACCACAGTAACACAACATAATACGGTAAAAACATGACGACGCTTGATAAAGGCGCCTTACACATTGAGAATTCTAAATCGAAATTTTCACGTAAATTTATCACCAAGTCAATTGATCAAACATTGTTATTCAGGCGCGAGTTGAAATGTATATATCACATCGACGCAATAGTACAGACATTTGAAGATATTTCCTCAATTCAATATGTTCTTAAACAAAAACGAAACGAAAAAGGTCTTGACTTTTCCAGATGCGTGTTTATTTTCGAAATCAGCCATAGATTTTTGCCAGCCGACCATTTTAACTGTATGGTTTTTTTGTTCGTTTTTGTTCTAATTATAGGAGAGTAAGCAAAGCGGTAAATGTTATTTTTGTAGCGATGAAGAAAAAAAAATTGAGGAAAAACAAAAACTAAATGAAAAAGACAGACAACAAATACGTATACAGGGCCAAGAGTTGTAGTTAACATTATTGGCAAAAAGTGGAAAGTGAAAAATTTGAACTGCAGACTCTGCCATGATCAATGTATTCTTGTGTGCATTTGACTGATTTTCTGATTTATGAACATCGAGACTGAATGTTGCATCTGTCGAGTCACTATTTGCGAAACGAATGGGCTTGTAGTAAATATTAGTTGGGCTATTTATATACAATAATTTCGTCTATCTGTCTGCATTGCAGCTTTATTGAAAATGGACCGAAATGCTAAATTCACTCGACGTGTTCTGACTCGTCGTTATTTAAACAGTGTTACAGTTATGTACCAGGAAGTGAACATTATATGAACCACTGCGAATAAATTCATCACCTAATAATTTTACTAATAAACACAAAACTTGAATGGTTTGCATACATAAGCAATTGAGAGATTCTTGTTTTTTCGTGAATTTCAAGATGATTTTGCGCTTGAAACATCGAACATAGTTTTTTTTTCATCTAACTGACTCAAACTGGCTCTTGCTAGTAGTTTCACCAAGCTTTGAACTTATTTTATATTGAACTATGCGTCCTAAAGTACAATAAAAATTCCTTGACGTCATAAACAATAGATTTTATACGGTTGAGATGTAAAGTAAGACATAGTCGCATGCTAGCAACGGGCTCTTGTTTGTGCTTTTATTTACCGCATTAGGACAATTTGTCAACTTTTCTGATGAATTTTAAATGGCAATAATTGAGATAAAGCCTCATAGATGGCACTAAAAGCTGAGAATGTGGAAATGTGTGTTTGGCTTAATCCGGGTTGTTTCATATACTCACATGCACAATTGATTGAAACTTTGGTAGTTGTGTATGAATCACAAGCGATTGGCTACACAAACTTCAGTGTCAGCTCCAAAATTTAGACCGTTCTCTATTTTTCTTTAAGAAATTAACAGTGCACAAACATATGACACCCATAGAATCAGACGTGTGCAAGGTCAAAAATTCTAGAGGGGGGTAAAATGATTTTGCCAGGGGGGGGGGG